ACACACACACACACACACAGACAAACACACACACACAGACACACACACACACACAGACAAACACACACACACAGACACACACACACAGACAAACACACACACACACACACACACACACACACACACACACACAAGTACGAGTGAGTTTTACCTCGTGCAGCGTCGTCTGCCCCCCCACAGCTGCAGCTTCACACTTTTATAGGTTTGATCCTCTGCAGAGTCACATCACGTGACGTCAGCTGTTGTCACTGACGTCACGTGATGTGAAGCTGTAACATGTTCACATGTTTGATTCTTAGAGACGAATCAGGATCAGCTGTTTGTTTTCTACAGAAACATTAAAGAGACGCGTCGACGTGTTTGAGCTGAAAATAAAATGAACCAAATGATTTTTGATAAAAACATTCATGTTGTTTTTATTCAAATAAAATAATATGAACACAAACACACGCACACACACACACACATACACTCACACACACACAGTTAATTGTCATGTCGTCTGTGTGTGTGTGACGAGGCATCAGGACAAACAGGAAGTACGACCTGCTCTCTACGCAGCTTCCTGTTATAGTCATCAAACCTTTTTCAGGACCTGAGGTCAGCAGGACCAGGATCCATTTACAGAACGAAGAGAAAACTCCAGAAACATCAAACTTCAGTTTGACGTCAGAGGTTTAAAATATTTATATGATAACGAGCTGCTGCTATCGAATCAGAATCAAAGAAATCCGATGGAGACATAAACAAGTTTAATAAGAGTGAAGACATCACAGTATTATTATTACACTGTCATTACTGGTGTTGTCAATGAGTCAGAATAGTGATAATGATAGATGTCATGGTTTTTATATATTTGTTGTCTATACATCATATATGTACAGTAACGTGCACATGTAACATGTTCTTTATGACACATTTGCTGAAATAAAGACTGAATCTGCAGTTTCTCAGTAACTTTACTCAACTAAAAAAAGTCAGATTAACTTTACTTAACTTCAGTGATTAAACAACAACAAATATTATTGATTTTCTTGAATCATGACATTTGAGAAAATGATGAAAAATGAGAATTAACAGAAAAACAGAGAAGACGTGTTTCCTCTAAATAATATATTTAAAAACGTAACTGTTTATATTAGAATTATGAAACTTTTCTGGACTGAAACAGTTTAGACAGAAACTTTCGTATCTCTCTTGACTGGACTCCGTATATTATGGGGTTCAAGGTGCCGGGGATGACATGAAACAAAATGGCAGACAGCTTCCTGTAGTCGGAGTACTGAGGGAAGCGATGCAGGATGATGATGAAGGTTCCACATAAGAACATGATGAGATACACCATTAGATGAGTGCTGCAGGTCTTTAAAGCTTTACTGTTCAGAGACTTGTTTTTACTGGTCAGACAGACRATGGTTATTTGAGTATATGTGAGAACTATGCTGCCGATAGAAGCTGAGAACAGGACCACGGTGAACGTGAGGCCGTAAACATTATTAACAAACACACTCTCACAGGAGAGTTTGAACAGCGAGGCGTTGTCACAGAACGGATTCATGATCTTTGTCCTGCATCGGTTCAG